AAAAAGCAGGTAATTTCATAGGAATTACCTACTTTGCTCACCCTTACCCAACCCAAACAAATAAATCCAGTACCCTCCTAAGTAAAATTTGTGAACTCCCCGACTCAATGAGTTATCCGTTCTAATTTTAGCTTAGGAAGTTACCCACTTTGCAAATAAAAAATACACACCTCTTTTAAAGTCTCTTGAGCCATTTTACACTCATCTAGAAAACTGGTAATGCACCATTCAGAGAGCTTTCATCAGTTGTCTAATGTTTCAATACAAAATAGTGCTATAACTGATAAATAAAAAAAGGAATAAATATGATCCAATGATAAGAAGTCAGATAACAAATATAAAGTATAAGTATAAACATAAAAAAAAAAAAATTTTCGCGTTTTTAATATTTGATACACACCCTTTTTCAAGAACTCCTCTAAGAAATAAGTTTATAAAACAACTGAAAACTCCACAAATAATATGTGGAGTGTTTTATGTGCACCTTCATTTTCATTTTATCCTATCGTTCTATAATAAAAAAAAAGATTTTTTTAATATTAATAATAAAGATTCAAGTATAAAAATAATAAAGTAATAAATATTTACTATTAGCTTTGCTGAAATATTGACAAAAATTTGATCACGGACGTCACTTCGTCCCTTTCATAGGTGTACGCGACGTCTTTGTTTATTAGGCTTCTTCAGAACGGTCTTAGCCTAGGGGTGATGATGAGTTTTCTGCTAATACAGAAGATATAAAGGAACAGGGTATGGGTGGATGGTGCGTGTTTGTTTGTGTATTTCTCACTCTTCTCTCGTTTTCCCTCTTTCTCTAGGTCTTCTCTTATAGTTCCCTTTCCTTTACATCTTCTATTAGATATGTAGGCTGGAAGTGTGGGTTGTGCGTAAGGGTAGAGTATGAGAGTATTTTTTTTTTTTAGAAAAACCTGATGGTATATATATATGTTGAGAGTATATATATATTTGTAAAAAAATCGCGACGCGTGAGTAAAAAAATGATGACTAACATTGTATCTATTGTATCTCGTGATTCTGCAATTGATGAGATTGATGAGATGATGTGCGGAGCTTAATTATTATAATATAATATTATTTATGATTATAATAACCAATACTTTGTTGTGGCTTAGTGATTAGTAATCATATTTGAAGTTAGATATAATATTATTAACTATTATTTAAGTACCTTGTGATTAAAAAATAGTATTTTTACTGTCCGACATGGATGATGTCAAATCATTGTACTACATGCTGAATCACCTGATCATCTCAAAAAATAATTTGTTAAAATTTTACACGTTATAAAATTAATGTTTCTTCATAAAATTTATTAATTGTACAATTTTTATATTATCAATAACATTATTTTTTTTTTCATTGACTAGTGATTAAAATTGCATCAAATTTGACTATACATATTATGAGTAAACATTTACTAAATGTTTTAGGTCAGGATCGATTTCCAACGATGAGCATGATCACGAACCAGAGAAAATTATTTGTTCGTGTACCCCAAATTTTATTCATATGAATGGCATAGTTAACAATAACAATTCAAAAGCATCAGTATATCATCTGTTATGTCATATTTATTTAATTAGTCTTAAAAATTTGCTTTATTTTCGATCAAAATGAAAATCTTATTAACGTGATGGTTAACATTCTTACCAAACGATTTACAATAGTTAAGTCAGTCATTACTTATTTATTTCTTTTAATGAAATGTAATTTAGATATGTATATTACGCATTTTTAAATACATTATGTAACAACACTAACGACCTAACCTTAACATGATATATGAATCTGAAATAATAGTTATTGCGTCAATCAAAAGTTCAATATGACTCACATTGACCTAATATTATTATTAGAGTTAGATATATTATGTAATAATTGTGTCTGATCTTTCCACTCTTAGCCTCAAACGCGTAGAAATGAGGCAACTAAATTCCTCAAGGGTGCAACAGTATGCAAGAAAAAAAAATAATTTTCTTTTCTTCAGCCAACAACTTCCGTTTAACACTAAAGAAAAAAAAAAGTATTTCTGGATAATTGATTATGTTCTGCTTCAGAATTATTATTATTATTATTATTAGACCTATCATTTGATTTTCGATACTCTCGAAGATCAACGTGATCTTCACTACGACGACGAGAAGGTTTTGATCGTTCATGATCAGGTAATGGAGTATTGTGAGTAATATTCGGTATATACCGTACCCATTTATCTTTGCCTTTTTTAGAAGAACTCTGGCATTTATGAATACGAAAATGGAATTACAAAAGATTTAGTTAAAGCGATTTATTGGTATGAAATATCTTCCAAACGAGATTATCAATATGCGCAAAAAAATATTTTGAAATCTTTCATCAATTACGGTTTATTTTATATAGTTACCTGAAAAATGAATAATAAATAATTTATTAAAATTTTTACTATTTTATGTTTTATAATGATGGAACCGAAAATATATCTAAATTTTAGAAGATTGCTATTCTAATATGTCTTTTCATTACATATGAATCCAAAATTTGCAAGTATCGACCCTAGTATTTTAATAAAAAAAAAAATGGTTTTAAAAAAATTTCCGAAGAAAAAAAAAAATCTTTAAAATATAGATGCAAGACTATAATTTTGGATATATGACGGGGAATGCAGAATCTTGTTGCAAAAGGAAATTTTTTTACCGATCTGCTTGTGTAATAATCACCTGCTACAACTACAGCCGAAATACAAATACAGCAAAGGGTCTGTTGCAAAATAGGTCTCCTGGCGGACATTTGATATGTTTAAAGTTAAAAATGAATTACAACTTATCCGTTATCGTTACTTTATAATTGTCCTTATTGAAAAAATTATTTTATATCAAACAATATCAATATTTTTTTTTCTTTACCAAATTGCCAAATTCATGTCGTGCGATATGAACACCTAGCATGTAGCACAAGTTTGTGCGACAATGTTTCATATATATATGCGCTAAACCGCTTCCATTAAAAAATTTTCCGCTCATATCTTCTATGCAATAATATCTTATGATATTTGAATCAATTTTAAAGTCAAAATTGGATGAAAAAAAATGGATCTGCAAAAAATTAGAATCCTTGTTGCTATAGATTTCGGAACGACTCATTCGAGTTTTGTCTATGTGCATATAGAAAATCCGGAAACTATCGTAATGAACTCTACTTGGTAAATTAAATATTTTTTTTTTACTTTTTTTTTGACGAGTGTTTTTAGTAAAATAATTAATTAAAAGGCCAGGACGTGAAGGTGTTTCTAAAATTCCTACTGCACTTAAGTATAATGAAACTTATACTCAAGTTATAAATTGGGGTGACTTGGCATTAGATGAGGAACTGGATGATACAGTTGATGATTTAAATAAGCGTTCTTGTCCAATTGAACTGTTTAAATTACATCTATCTAATTTAAGAGAAGATCAAAAACCTTGGTTACCTCCGCAATTAAATTACAAGAAAGCAATCGTAGATTATTTAACTCAAATGCGGATATTGATTAAAAGTACACTAGAAAGGATGTGGCCGACAATTAGTTTTCCGCAGCAAGTTGGTTTAATTCTAACCATTCCTGCTGAATGGGTATGTCGTACAAGATATGTTATTAGTAGTTATTTATTTTACAACTAATAATTAAATTCTTTAATAATATTAATTGAAGCCACCCCATAATACAACTGTCATGCGCGAATGTGCATATAAAGCTTGTCTCTTGACTACATTAAACTCTACACATCTTGAGTTTACTACTGAACGTGTGTATAATGATTAATTATTTCATGTCATTGGATTAGGACGGTGAACTAATTTTTTCTTTGTTACAGCGGATGCAATTGCTTTATATTGCCTAAATGTTAAGGGGCATAATCTTCATTATGGAGGTAGTGGATTTTTTTATGTAAAAAAAAATTATAATAATTGCTTTTTATAGATTACTTATCTGTTATATACTTTTTTTAAAAATAAAGATTCTTTCCTAGTTGCAGATTGTGGTGATGACACAGTCGATATTATAACGCGAAATTTCTTCAAAACAACCGATTAAATGAGATTACTAAACGTGTCGGCGATCTATGTGGTTTTACATTTGTTGATAAGGAATTTTTACACTTTCTTGAGCGTAAAGTTGGAATTCAAGCATTAGAAAAATTAAAACAATGTGAATATGGACAAGTACAGTGTTTGATTAAACAATTTTTTTCTACTCGGATTAGATTTAAATTTAACGAGGATCGTGAATGTTTTAGGACATGCAAGCTTAATTTGCAACAATATTGTCCTGATTTACAGGAATATGTTACGGGAGAATTTAAAGAGCAAATGGAAGAAGCTGGATGGATCATAAAGCTCGATTTTGAATCAGTGAAAAGGATGTTTGATCCAGTTGTAGATAGAATCATAAAATTGATTGATGGTCAATTAAATGATGTTAAGGAACGATGCCGTGCAATATTTTTAGTAGGTGAATTTAGTAAATCGCCTTATCTTTTGAGTAGAGTAAAAAAAAGCCTTTATAGATCAAGTTCCGATTATTGCATTGCCAACAGCCGCAGTTATTAGAGGTGCTATAATAAATGGATTAAACGTTAAACCTACTCACGACTTGTCAAATGAGGCATCTTCTGTTCATCGTATTTATGGTATGAGTGCGTTAAGATAGATTAATATTAGTAATGGCTGTAAATTTATTGACTAATTCTTTATTACAAATTCGTAAAATCAATACAATATGGATTGATACTAGACGAGCTAGATAATTTAAATAAAATAAAAACAGTTTCATCTTCATCGCGTGTTTTTGAAAGACATATGGTAAGTTGTAAACTAATTAATTAAAAAATACAGTATAATAAACTCCTATTTTATCTCTTTTAGGAATCAAAGCTACTCGCAAATGGAATCCTAGTGATCCAATTGAACGTAAACTTTCAGATGGAATGATTAATATTTTTTTACAAATAGCTAAACAAGGGAATGAAATTCCTATTGATACAGGAATCTCAATTATTTTTAGTTCAAATTTCATTTCACGAAATAGTATAGATTTATTTATTACAGATGAACATGATGTAAAATATTGTGATTCTCCTGGGGTAAATTTAATTGGTACATTGAAGATTAGTACGCCCAGTACAATTAAAAACAGTGCTATTTCGATTACTTTATTTTTTAGTAATATAACAATTAAGGTTGTTGCTCAAGAAGTTGATGATAAAACTGGTTGGAAATATGAAACTTTATTTAATAATATAAGTTATTAATATTTGTTAATTATTATTATTATTATATAACATCCCATATTATACTAATAAATTATATAACAATTATTTACATTCCGAATATCACTGTGATATCTTATGTTGCACCAACAAATATTTACCTTATGATTTTCTATGTGTAATACCTTTCAGATAATTAAATCTCATATTCAAATCAAAACTTCTATGATCAACATCATAAAATTTAGTACTACGATATAATCTCATAAAAATAAAGAAATGGATACTACGCAAAATATACGTTTTTTTAAAATAATTTATAATACCAGATATACTGTACTATATATATATATTACTAGTATATATATTATTATATATATAAGTGAATTGTAGCACTTACCAGAGGTAAAATTCACCAGAGGGAAATTCACCTCAGGTAAAATTCACCTTTACCATATTATATATTTATATTTATTTCAGTATAAAAAAAACTAAATTTTTTACAATTTTAGTGCATATTATATATAAAATAAATGAATAAAAACTTGCCTAAAAATTAGTTTTTATACATTATATAAATAAGGTAAAATTTATAATTTAACTCTTTATAAAATCAAAAATCATCATTTGGATAACAAAAAGTTATCCCATGCTTTTGTCTATTTTCATTCCTTCTAGATGCAATAATTTCATATTGACCAAAGGTTAGTCCGAAATCAATCCTTCTATTATCAAGATGTACGTCTAATAATGATTACAAAAAAGTTAATTATAATTTATATATTTAGGTTATACAATTAACTCTGGCCAAATTATAATTCCGGCCGAAATTAAGAAATTAAAGTAATTTTACTGTGCAATAACTAAAGGAAAATAAATTAATTTACATAAAAATAATAAAAAATAAATTAATTAATTTAAAAAAATAAAGGCTAAAAAAAATTGAATTACTGCGCCACAATAAAGATTCGATTTTTTAATTCGATTTTTGATTAATCGATTTTGCTAGAATCGATTCCATTCTCTACCTTCGCTTACGCTGACTTTTCTAATGGGGATGCAGGTCAATGGACCTGGACAACTGGTTATTTTAATTTGATAAAAGGTCCAGTACTGATTCTTATCATTTTCGTGGATTATTTACTAGAGGTTTCGAAAAAGATACGAATATCCAAAATTATGAATTTTTTGTAATAACCAAGGATGGGAAAAAGATTGATTATACTAAAGACATTTGAAAATGTCAAAATTTTCTCAGCTGGTGGTACTTCACCTTTTCAAAAAGATTATAAAGGTCTTAAAGTTATAGAACTTGCTGGCAGTACCTTTTTTGTTAAGCATAAAGGAAAGAAATTTTCCGAAGCTTCAATTAAATGTGTTTAAAAAAAAAAATAAAAAGATTTGTGAATCCTAACAATATTCTTTTTTTAAAAAAAAATATTATAGTATATACTGTATGTAGTTTCTTCCTATTCCTATAATTTTTTTTTAATTATCAAAATAGTAGATAGATATATTGTCGTAGTATCTTAATAAAAAGTTCATAATCTTTTAAATATTTTGTGTTCAATAAAATGTTTTATTATACGTCCATTAATATTTATATAGCGTGTTTATAATGATTTAATTGTGTCAAATAATTTCTTTTAAAAATTATACCACCAATCTGTGATAATTAAAAAAATAAAAAATAAATAATTTCATTCAAGAATTATAAAATCTATATAACTAAAAAAATTTTCTTCCGTATAAATAATTTGAATTGTGTAACTTGAAATCCCATACCATATAATTAAACCCCATGACGTGCCTCTGCCTATGGTCAAAAACTATTCGATCCATGTGCATTCCAATCAACTAATCCAATTTCAGTTAATAAATTTTACTTTATTCATAATGATTATTAATTTTTTTTGCCCAAAATATTATTTTTTGGTTCCTTTTTCAGACTGAAAAAAATTTTTTCTCCCTTTTCTTCTTTCGGTTTGGTTTTTTTTTTTGGGACCAAAAAATTTGTTTTTCTCATTCTTTTCCCGTTCAGGTTTAATTTTTTTTCCCAAACTGAAAAATTTTTTTTTTTTTTATTAAATAATCTCATTGTTTCGGTCTTTTAAGACCGATTTTTTTTATATTATTTTTTTTTCGATCTTTTTTTTTAGACCGTATTGTTATTTTTTTTTAAATTGATTTTTTTTTTGTTTTTTTCTTTCCCCAAATTTTTTTAAATTTTTTTTTCTTTTTTTATTATCAAATAAAGAAATAAAATATTATAATAAATATATTTAAAAAATTATTATTTTTTTAAAAAAAATCAATATAACATATAAGGTCGACGTTGATAGAAAGTTGATTAAGATTTTTTCAATTAAATCGAACGCTGGATAAATAGTTTGATTTTCAAATTCATAAAAATCAAAAAAATTGACATTTTTTCAATATTTTATAATTAATTAATTGAAGAAATTGTTGATTTAATAATAACCAAATCCATATCCGAAATTTTCTAAATAATCACCAGATTTTTGAATAAAGGTTTTAACTCAAATGGTTTAGTTAAATTAATAATTTATCGAGTAAAACGAGTATCAAAAGAATAATATTATGAAAATACTACAAATATTTTTTTAATTAATTATAAATTTTATAATTATTTCTTATTTTATATTACGTCAATCTTAAACTTATAACCAACTTAGGAAAAATATTTGAATAATTAAATGTGTTAGAATCTGTTCATTTCATTTATTATTAAAGTTTTTTCGAAAATACTTCTGAAAAATTAATCAAAAAGAATGAGGGTGAATGAAAAAAATAGGGAGAGTAAAGGGAATAAAAGAAACGAAGGGGAAGTGAGGGAGGAACGAAATGGAGCAAAGGGGGAGTGAAAAAAACGAAAGGGAATGAAAAAAAAATGAAAAAAATGAAGGGGACGAAATGGAGCAAAGGGAATAAAAAATGAAAGGAACAAAGGGTAAAGAGATGTGGGAATGGAATAAAAACGAAAGGAATGAAGGTAGTGTAAAGGAATGAAAAAGACGAAAGAAATAAAAAACAACGGAAAAAACGAAGGAAAGGAAGAATAAAAAGAGCAAAAGAAATGAAGAGACAAAACAAAAAAATGGAGAAGGGACGAAAATGAGATAAACAGGGGGACCAAGTAAAAACCAAACCCATAAAATACAAGAAGAAATAAAGTTAGTAGGGAACAGAAATTACATGTAATAAATAAACGAAAACAAAAAAATAAAAAACATACCTTAGTGGTTGCAGAGAAGAACCAAAAGACCTAAAAAGAACGAAATACAAAATGTAAGAAACGAAATATTAAGAATGGAATAAAAAATAACGAAACGGCCATATAATGGTGTTCATATCTTAATTGCAAAATCGAAAGAGCCAAAGGACCTAAAAAATAAAATAAAGTTAGTAGGAAACAAAATGCAAGAAGCAAAATTGAAAAAAAAAGTACCTTAAGTGTCGTGCAAAGGAGTGAAAGGACCTAAAGAAAAAAAAGATTTATCTTAAGATTCGATCCGCCTATGATCGACAGAAAATTACTATATAAATTCGGGGGAAATTTTATTGCAAAAAATAAACTAAATAGGCAAAATTTTGCCAATCAAAATCATCACAAATCATGTTGTGATACCAAGTCATGTGATGAAACTTAAAAATGCCAAGAAAAATATCGAGAAAAATATTTTCACATAGAAACTCACAATAAACGCTAAAATCTGACACCTACCGTGTCTTAAATATTCATTTATTCAGTAAAATTGCTTCACGCATGAAAATTACTCAAATATTATTGTCAAAGGGATGGTTTTTTGGCTAAAAACAAGCGTAACTAACGTACAAATAGAAAAGATCTAAAAATGAAAAATTCAACCTAAAATAACCTATCTGCTATATAAATCCTTCTAAAAGCCATTATTACCTATTGTTCTGGTAATTGTATGTTATTTTTTTTTATATTATTGTTACAACACTTTCAAAAAGCTAATAATATTTTGCAAACTAATGCTAAGAGTTTGTGTGATGCACTCAAATTGAAAAACTAGATAAGAATACATATACCAAAACTTCCACCATTTGAAATTAATTTACGGGTTACTCCTCATGAAAATAGAAAGAGATCATAGTAACATGTGAACTAAAAGCAAGAGAAAATATTAGAATTATATAAAACAAGTAGTTTCAAACATATAAAATACATGAGAACATAATTTTAAGTGTTCATATATGTTAAAATAACGTAATATACGACTTGAAATTCTCACATATATATATATACATACCTGTCAAATCTGACGCTGCCTCAAAGTAAAGTTTTGAACAAATAAATAAATTTCTCAATTTTTTTTTATTTTTTTCATCTTTGACATTTAAGGAATCATCATGTGAATTTTGGTGCCACAGCATGATGATCTGCGGTTTTTATAGCCCATAAAATTTAGCCAATTTTGGCATTTTTATAATAACCTCGCCCCGAATTTATATAGTAATTTTCTGTCGTTCGTAGGCGGATCGGCTCTTAATAAACATAAGAAATGATCAGCACATTAATTAGCCAATAAAATTTAATAGGGTGCGCATAATAATGAGGGTAATTATATAGGTTAAATCACCCTAGGTGAAAAATTGTTATATAATCTTCCTTAATTATCCGAATTTCATTCTACACTCAAACGTCAAATCATTAATATAAGCTAAATTATTATAAATATAATTTATATTATTCTAATATTAAATTTTTCTATTTAAAAAAACTCATTGGTCCCGATGCGAAGCAACGGATGACTAATCTATCTATCTATATTTATAAAAAAATCCCTGTGCGCCCATAACGTTTAGACTACCCCGCATAAAAAGGTGGATTTAATTCCTCTTCTCATCAACATAACCCCAAAATTGATGTCCATTTTCACAGATCATGATAAATATTTGTTAAATATACCAAAATTGACATTAATAACCTGCCAGATATGAAGATATGAAACAAAAAAAAAAAATATTAATTTAAATTGGATCGTCCAGCATCATGCGCCTGCGCCCTGTGCTACAGATTCTTATATAGGATTCAGAGTGGCGCATCATTTGCCATTTATTTGCTTAATTGGGCAGCCCTAATCCTAATACAATTTTGAATTAGGCTGCATAAATGATTGGCGTAGGACAGATTTAAGCAACTAAACCAATAAAAAATTTGTTAAGCTATAAAAATAATTTAATCGGGACAATGAAATTCTTCACATGAGAAATCATCATTGTCTTTTTAGAAATAGTCATTGTTTTTTTTAAAAAAAAAAATTTTCAGTTTTTTGAATTTTCCCATATGACAAATTTTCTTTAAATTTTTAATTTCTTCATCACGAATTTGCCGATCATTTATTGACATTGTTACCTAAGAAAAGGTGACTATTTTATATAAATTCTACAGATCAACATTTACCGTTAAATTGTCCAGATAGGTACGATTATATAGAAAACATGTAGCGTACGGTGAGCTATGTATGTACGTATAGTGGTCAATGTATGGCAATGTCCGGTATACATCACTCTACAGTATACACCACCCCACCCTACAGTATGGTAAAAATGACCATACATACCGTACGTTGATCACTATACAGACATACATAGGCTTCTATACATGACATGTTTCCGTCGTACCCGATAGGTACCTACAAAATAAAAAAAAGGCGGATCCCTGTTGCTGAAAAGCGACGTGAGACGATATTTCCTTTTTGGAAATTAATGTAACCAAAAATTTTCCTTTAGGAATACTATTCATTTTTGTTTGTGTAACATAACTGATGAGCGGGAGAAAAGCTACACAATTACACAATTCAAAGGAGTCTTAACGTGACACCACATGATTGCAATGATTTCAAATAATAGATAAAGATAATACAACAATATATAAAAAAAAAAA